TACATGTGAGCTAAGGGAAGTATTGACCCAATTCAACCCATGTTTGGTACACAGAAATACTATTGTCTGGAAAGGTTGCTCTCTGAATTTCAATTGTATATCTCATGTTGTCAGACATTTTCGGTGAAAAGTCAATTACAGATATTGGGATCCTCGTATTCATTACCAAGAGGCTCCAACAGATTTATTTGAATTTGGACGATTTTTGATCATAAGATGACTTTAAACGAATTATAAGTGCCCAGTTTTAGTCCGTTTTATAAATTGTTTTCTGATTTATGTTCTGGAAAGTGAAAGGATCAAATGGACCCTTAATTTTAAATAAAAATTACTCGACTTGCACTCCTGCTCTTCGAACGAAAGCACTGGTTTTCGGAAAAGCCAAAAGAACAGCTGGTACGATGAGGAGTGCCGGGTCGCAGCGGAGAGGAGACAGGCAGCCTACCTCGCAAAATTGCAGTCGACACCAACATGGGCAGGATGGAATAGATACCGAAGAGGAAAGCGATTCTCATTTGCAGACCGAAAAAGAGATACCATAAGCTCCCTCAGGATGGAGAAGGCGCCTAACTTTTGTGTGACTTTTTCAATCTACTATTGGAGAAAATAGCTCGAGCTGCAGAACTAAATTGAGAAGGTACCATCTTCTATAAGGGTTTGCAGGTGCTGACGTACGCCAAATATATTAATATCATTGGCAAAAAAAGCGAAAAAGGGTCTGTTAGTGAACGAGGGCAAGACGAAAAATCTCCTGTCATCAAAGAAACAGTCGTCCCACTCGCAACTTGGCTCCCACGTCACTGTTGACAGTCATAACTTCGAAGTCGTAGATAATTTCGTCTATCTTGGAACCAATATTAACACTCACAACAATGTCAGCCTCGAAATCTTAAGCAGAATAACTTTTGAAACAGGTGCTATTTCTGACTAAGCACGAAATCGAGCAAACGAAAACCAAACTCTGTAATTCACTCATTATTCCCATCCTGCAGAGGAATGGATGAAGACGACATTTGATGAGTCGACGTTACATGTGTTTGAGAGAAAGATTTCGCGGAAGATTTAATTATCATGCGCTTTGGCTACGGCGAATGTCGCATTCGATGGAACGATGTGTATTATGAGATATACTACGCTAGTACAGAAGAAGAGGAATTTTAGATAAGGCAGAAATCAAGGAAATAAAAGGCGAGGAAAGAAAGGTGTTTCAGAATTTAAAATTGCACAAAAAATAAGCCAATAACAGTATACATTAAATACCCAAAAATAAAAAAAATATTTGTAGATTAAAGAAATACCCGTTTCACAAAATGATGGAAAATTAATTATCGAAAATTAAATAATAAAATCCAAAAATTAATTTTATTCGACCCAATTTTGTAAAAAAGATTTTGCATGATAAATAAATGAAAAGTATAATATTACATATTTATCTGATATTTTAAATAATAAACTTGCTAATTGTGCATAAATATTGTCAAAGGCGATGCTATAATATTTTCCGATAAATAATATATTAGGTTGTCAAAAAAGTCTTGACGTATTTTTTACTGAATTTTCAATTGTTCATACATTTTTTTTTTTTTTTTTGATGACTCATGCCCAGCTTTTGAATGATGCTACGGCTGCTAATATGCCGGTCTCTTTCGACCAATTCAGCGATTTTAGCGCAATTTTCGACGACAGGCCTTCCGGAGCGTSGCGCATCTTCGACCCTCTCTACACCATAACGAAAACGTTGAAACCATCGTTGTGCGGTGGAAATGGAAACTGTATCAGGACCTTAAACTGCACAAATTTTATTGGTGGCTTGAGATGCATTTTTACCTTTATCATAGTAGTACTGTAAATATACCGTTTTTTCTCTTTATTTTGCTCCATATTTGCGACGCTGTAACTCACGAACGACTTAAAGAAACGACAATCAATCAAACAGCGAAAATACCGCAAGACGTTTTTGACAACCTAACATTATATTAATTATCATACAACAGGCGGAGTAAATGTCTACCATACTACTACATCGTAGAGTAGAAATGGTTTAGCTCTAGCTGTGTCCAGGAATGCTAAATTAGTATATTAAATTAGGTATTCAAAAGCCCTTTCGATAATAAATACCAGTGTATGGAATGCAGTTTCTACTGATCTGTTCTTTGTATAAGCGTGCTGCGCTTTTAATGCACTTCTCTCTTCGCAGCCAGGATTTTCCGCGTCCTTAGAGCCTGGAATGTGCACACTGACTAGGTCTTCTAATGAGTCCTGGCAACTTTCCACTACTTTTGCTAATTAGACCGGGCAAGGCGCGGATTTCGGATAATAATTTCCTAAGTCTCTCTTGTTCGACAAAGGAGGTTTCGTAGCGTAAGGCATCATGAAAAGCTGTACTTGGAGCGTTCGTAAAATCAGTCATGTCATTTTCAATGCTCTTCATGTGAATTGTATTCGCAAGGTCTAAGTATCTAGCTTAACAGTATTTACCTGTAGAAATCCCAGTTTGCATTCCTGCGATTTCTCCTAACCTCGTGTCTGATCGTTGCTTCCGATCTAATAGGACAGTAAATATACCTATGGTCAGAGAAACGCGRTCTGTTTAGCACTATACAGTTTTCTATCAATACACCTCTACTTAGCTACCACTAGACTATAGTACTTTGTAAAATATAATTAGGTAGGGACTCACATCTATGAATGATGTGGACCGTATAATGGCCGTTACCATCAGCGCCTATTGCCAACGCCTGCTTTCTCTGATGGATGTAGATACCAGCCTTTAGAGCTCTGCCGTTGGCACTCGCAATCATGTGGCATCTAGCATAATGCAAGGAGTAGAGATTCATCCTTGCTGCTCTTCACCACCACAACCGTCAGACCAGATATGGGAAAATATATTTTTCTTCACCAAAATCGCTGATCTTACCTTGTTAATTACCTTCGACTAACATGCTTCACACGCCCTGCGTCATCTTTCTGAACCTCGTGTACAAAAGATCCTCGGCCTCCTTATTGATCTGGAGGATGTAGTTCTGGCCTCCATCTTCGTTGATGGATTTCGCCACGCTTAACACCCTCCAGTCGCTAGTTGGCACCTGCGAATTTTGCCTTTGTAGCAGCCACAGAGCATGTTTCGGTTCTACCACGCGAGGTATAGTTACCTTCGCTATGGGCACCAATGGAATACTGCCGCGTTCTACCACCTCCAGCTTCGCTCCCTTCCATACGTTTGGAAGTATTCTTACCGCTTCCCTTACCCATGTAGGGGTGGCTCATCATTGCATTTTAAGAATTGCACATCACTAAGCCATCCTTCTCCATGAAATGACGGCATGGGTGCACTCAGTTGGGCGTCCATTCTCAATAAGAGAGCTTCCAATAGCTTCGTTTCTACCAATCCTGTGAAATTTGTTCCAGCAGTAACTCACTGCGGTCTTTGAGCGCGATGGCCAAATGCCGTTTCGCCATCTCATTGGACACCGTCGCCGCTGCCTTGTTGCTTTTTCGTCCGCTTGCTTGACTCCTAGCGCCCCGGCAAAAAGTACTTACTTTTTCTCGATGGCGTCTTAAGTTCGCACTCCGTTGAGCGCTGCCTCTTTCCATGTGATGTGCTCGTCAATGCTATTGACATTGCCCCAATTACGAGTGCAAAGTGTGTCCAGCCGTTCTTCACCTCTTCCTCCGATCGCAGTTCCCACCGGTGGTAACAACCTCGCCTCCCACCGACGTTTGGACCTATTAGCACATCTACTTACTACTTATGGAACACCTTAAGTAGAATTAATTCCTAAACTCTGCACTTCAAGGAATATAAGATGTAGTTTTGTATATAGGCATAAGAAAATGATTGTATATATAAAACGATGAGAAATAAAGAAGAATGTAAAAAAATATGAACGAACTATGTGCATAATATTGGCGCGACACCGTAGACCTTTTTATTGAAATCACATATCTTGGCACGCGATCGACCGATTTCGACAAAATTTAGTATGACATTCTTCTCATATTCCTATGTCACAGTATCTCTGTTTATCAAAAATGAATTGAATCTGGTCAATACTTCCCTGAGACCCCATATACTTAATATAAAGAGTTTCGAACTGCCGGGTGACCTTATATTGTATATATCGGCCAATGTTTGAGTTATTTCAATGAGAATTACAAAGCGTATTTTTTCCACCAATAATAAATAGAATTGGGCGAAAAAAAAAGATTGTATGTAAGGTGCTTGAATGAAACTCAGGAAATATTCTTTTAATATAATATGTGGCATGGTAATATTATATATAAAATTAAGTCGATACTACTCCAACTACCATATACAACATGCAATAATTTTTGTTTTTCTAACAAAACTTATGCCGAATATGCCGGTCAGTGAATGAGTTATATATAATATATGTTTATATAAAACTGCTTAAGTTCCGACCCTCTTTTTGGCATTTTACACCCTAAGGAATTCCCTGGCTTTAGTTCTGCAAGTTCCAAACCCCTTCCAACCTATTATATTAAAATGTTTTCTTTAGTTTTAGGTTTATAGTACTATGTGCTTTTAATATTTTGATAAATACCGCTAAGAGAAAGAAATTCCCTTCCAAATCTGGGGTGTTGTCGACTTCCACATTTCATGGGAGGGCTAAGTTCGGGTGATACTGAACATTTTTTACTCTTGCAACTTGCAAGAATCAAAACTACGTAAATGCTTAATGTAAGTCCAATCATATAGAGTAAATTCAGAAGGGCGTTCGAAAATCCTGATATTTGTTCAACCCATTTTTGACATGTAGACAAACCAATATAAGAGAAGGACTATCCCTAAATTTCAATTAAAATATATTTGGGAAGCGATGACAGGACAACACGTAGTGCACACACCTATTAATACGTACACATACTCACCTCATTTGCAAAAGGCAACATTGACCTATGACAATAGGCAACACTGATAGGGCACAACCAACTTAACAAACAGGACAAGAGGACAGTCGTTAAACAGTCATCACACATATAGAACGGTCAAACGAACGGACTTCACATATTCAGTTTGTACATGATCATATAACATTTACGTATTTTAAATGAAAGTGTATGCTAATTATAAAGTTGAACCAAGTGCGTTTATTTGGAAGGGCTATCCTACAAATATGGTGTCAGAAGTGGGATGGTAGCGCCGCGGGGGAGAAAAACTTTTAAATTGACATTTTTTATACTTGAAATGTGAAGTGCGCGTAAAGTTATTAGATAAAAATGAATAAGTTTCCGTCAATGTGTAAATTTTAACTTTACATATTTACATATAAAAGCAAAAGTAAAGGTGTTAAGAAACATACAGACGTATAACGGACGCCTATTAGAAAAGCCTAGAATGTAGCGATGAATGCAGTGATTAGAAGCAGAGTAGCGGACGAGCAGCAAATTTTAAGCAGCGTAAATTTTTTTTTGGTACGAGACCATCAAGTCAGCAACAAGTAAGATCCAAAAAGCAGCATTAAAGTAAAGCAACATAGTAGCCAAGGGTAAGAATATAAAGAAACAGAGTATTAAGGCGAGCGTCAGGAACACAGACGTATGCGGCGTCCGTAGAAGCAGAGAGGGTAGCAACAAGGCATTCGTAGCGGTGTAAAGCAGAGAAGGCAGCAACAAGGCGTTCGTAGCAGAGAAGGCAGCAGCAAAGTGTTGGTAGCGGTATAGTAACAGAGAAGTGAACAAATACAGTAGCGGTAACCAAAAGAGGACAACTGTAAAACAATTCACAAGTACAGTTGAGGCGAATAAAGTAAGGCCATATAATTTTATATTCATATTATAATTCAATTTAGTGTAATAAATTTTGTAATTCAATTTCATTTTAAAAACATTATTCCAATATTATTATTCGCAATAATTTTAATAAACTTGAATTAAGAATTTGCGAAATTTTATATTTTTAATACGTAGATAAAATTTAAAATTTGTAATATTTCATTTCTTCCTTAATTTGTCTTGATATTGATTTTGTAATTGAATTGATAAGAGCATTGTAAGACAATGGACCCCGAGCAGATTTTAGCATTGCTTGTGGACGGACTTAAGGAAAACTTGGAAAGGTTGGGATTAGTAGCTAGTGGACGGAAAACCGTACTCCAGGACAGATTGCTGGAACACTTCGGCCTGAATACAAGCGAGGATGAGGCCGATGACGCCGGTAGTAGACGTAGCGTGAATACACCGATTGTAGAGCGATCGATGTTTACACTTCGTGATGTGGAAGATTCCATGACTCCATTTAATAGTTCAGGACAGCCTAATTTTGAACAAGGGCTACAAGACTTCGAAGATAATGCGGAAGCTGTACAGTGGAATGAACTACAGAAATATATTTATGCCAAGCAATTACTGAAGGGAGCTGCAAAGATGTTCGTACGTGGTCAAGTTGGTATTTGTAGTTATAGTTCTTTGAAATCAGCATTGAAGAGCGAGTTTGGTACCACCGTATCAGCAATTGATGTACATCGTACATTGAGGAACCGACGTAAACGACAGAACGAAGATATGCGTGAATACCTATATTGTCTGATGGAAACCGGGAAACCTATAAACTTAGATGACCACAGCCTTATAGAGTATTTCGTCGATGGTACTCCGGATTCTAAAGTAAACAAATCGAATTTATACCAAGCAAGGTCTATCGGTGATCTCAAGGAGCAGATCAAAATTTACAATTTGCTTTGATCCAATTTGCAAATCCGTTGAAATCATCGTCGTCAAACAGAGTAACATCGAATTTCAATCCCGGAGATAGGAAGTGTTTTACATTCGGAAAAAGTTCACACATGGCTAGAGATTGTCCACAGGGCAGATTCACCTGCTACAGTTGCGGAAGAGAAGGACCGAAGCATCCGAATGTAAAACTTCCGTCAAAGTCAACAAGCCAGAAAGGGGTACGAAAGGGAGTATGAATACAATGAGGTAGATAAGCAGGAACAGCAATTTATTACTCAAAGATTTGATTTTTACGGCACCTAATAGGATGTCCCAAACGATGTCTGCGTTAATTGATACTAGTTCCGATTCGGAATGATGCTTTGTTGATGCTTCGGTTTGATGTTGAATTAAGTAACGAAAAGAAGTATTTARCTGGCATTGGCAACAGCGAATTGGTAGCCATGGGCAGTTTTACGTTATCAATGGTTATAGACAATATACCTTTGGAAGTTAAGTTTCATGTCGCAAATGAGCGTTAAGTTATTATGTCGTGATAGTGAATGATATCCTGAAGCAAGTAGATTTGATAGTGACTGAGGAAGACGTTAAATTTTGCAAGAAAGGGTCGAAGCAGATAAAGGGAGGGCAGCAGAAGACCGGCAGAAATCGAAGTACCGAAGAAGTTTCATCTGAGGCGTGTGGAGAAGAAGTTGGTGAGCAGTGACGTGGCTAATGAACCGCGTGGACACTGTGAGGTGTCGAAGGGTGTTTCAAAGGGACACGTGATATGCGATAGAAGGCACGACATACCCGAGAATGGTGATACTGGAGAGTACGTGAGGGCAGTCAAAGAACTGCGTGGACACAGCAAGGTGTCGGATGGTGCCATCAAGAGGTACGGGGAATGATCAGAGTCAGAGAAGCACGTGGAAGRAGATAGTGAATTTCGCAAACATGAAAGAGGGTTGAGTGGAACAATGGAAAAGTACAGCGTAAGCGTAAAGGAGCGCTTAGTTGCAGAGTCAACAACTAATAACCGAGCCCAAGGAGCTGATAATATGAAGCGTGGCGAGGCATCAACGTCATTACACGAAAGTGCCGATGTATGCGCTGTGAAAAGGAACAGTATGGAACACGAGAATCGGAATAATGAATTGATTGGCGAGTTTAGAGACATTTTTTTTTTCTTGTGATATGAGTGTAGCATCACATATCGATCTGCAGCATCTCAGTCACACACATGCGGTGATGATAAATAAGTTGATAACCGAGTATCGACCACCGAAGAACGTGAAGTCACCTGTCGAGATGAAAATTTTAATGAAAGACGAAGAGCCGGTATACGAGAGGCCGAGGCGAGTATCCTACGTAGATAAGATTTGGGTCGATGAGCAAGTTGGTTGGAAGAAGGGGTTATTAAACCTCATCGGAATATGCATCACCAATCGTTCTGGTACCTAAAAAGAACGGTGAAAAGAGGATATGCTGCGATTATAGGAGATTGAATGCGAAAATACTAAGGGACAATTTCCCGATACCATTGATGGATGAAGTAGTCGAGTGTTTGCAAGGTGCCCAGATATATACGACACTTGATTTGGTAAATGGATTTTTTCACGTGCCCGTAAGCGCCGAATCCACAACATATACGTCATTTGTTACGGGTACCGGACAGTATGAGTTTTTGTATGTACCATTTGGAATTTGTAATTCGCCAGCARTGTTTGTGAGATTCATTCTAGCCGTATTCAGAGATTTGGTAAAAGATGGGATCGTGATTGCGTGCATGGATGACCTTATAATTCCTTCCAAAGATGAATTCGAGGGCATCAAGAACTTGGAAGTTGTGCTGAAGACAGCTGCAGCTGGTGGATTGCGAATCAATTGGAGCAAGTGTCAGTTTCTGGTGAGGAAAGTTGAGGTCCTGGGTTATATTATCAAGAATAGTTGCATAAAACCATCCGAGGCGAAGACGAACGCCATCAAACAGTTCCCGCTGCCATGTGATAAAAAAGCTATGCAACGATTCCTTGGACTAACCTCGTACTTTAGGCGATAGACATTGTCAGAAATGTTGAAACAAGATGTTCGATATGAACTAGGTAATGAGCAACTAGCAGCATTTCAGCAACTAAAAGCGGCACTAATCAATGCGCCAGTTTTAACGTTATACGATAAGCGAGCAGTAACAGAGGTGCACACACACGCATCGAAATTCGGATATGGGGCAGTACTATTGCAGAGAAATAGAGATGATCAGAACTTTCATCCAGTCCAGTATATGAGTCGGAAGACGAAACGGTGTGAGGAGTTTTACCTCGGTTAAAGCAAGCTCAAGAAGAGGACAATTGGGTTAGAGCTGTACGGAAGATTTTAGAAAAGGACGAATACGAGGATTACTATATGAAATACGACATATTACACAAGGACCCCATCAAAGAGTTGATAGTAGTAGATAGTAGTTCACACTCGGAGGAGGAAGTGATAAGGATTACACATAAACAAGGTCACTTCTTCAGTAAGGAAAAACAAGACATAGTGGAGAAAACATATTATATTCCACAGTTGAAAGCGGAAACATCTCGTGTAGTAGGAAGCTGTATCGAATGTTTGGTAAACGAAAATAAAGTAGGGAAAAAGGAAGGCTGGCTGAATCCAATTAACAAGGAGGACTATCCTTTAGGTACATACCACGTTGACGACGTTGGGCCTATGGAAATGTCGAAGAAATCTTATAATTATTTGCTTGTGGTTGTCGACGCATTTTCCAAATTTGTTTGGCTTTATCCAACAAAAAACACGGGAGCAGAGGCAGGAGTTGACAGACTTAGGAAGCAGTCGTCGGTAGTGGAAATCCAAAACGCATAATCAGCGACAGAGGCTCCGCATTTACGTCAACTCTTTTCAAAGAGCACCGTGTTAAAGAAGGTATTCAGCATCTCACAATTGCCACGGCTCTTCCAAGGGGGAACAGACAGTTTGAGCGAATACACAAAATCGTGATACCTATGATATCGAAATTATGCCACGAAAGTCCTGGTGAGTGGTGCAAACATGTAGAACGCGTACAACAGACTATAAACAACACTCCATCTCGTAGTACAAAAATATCGCCCTTTAAGATATTAACTGGATTAGAAATGCGAGTGGCTGAAATGCCGAATCTGGAAGAGCTTTTAGAAAACTTCGCAACAGAAGAAATCGACTCAGAGCGTGAGAAAAGCCGTCTAAGCGAAAGAGAACATAGTTCGTTTACAAGAAGAAAATCGCAAGACCTACAATGTTCGTCGTAAAGCTGAAGTTGAGTACAAAATTAATGAACTGGTAGCAATCAAACGTACACAGTATGGATCTGGGCTGAAGCTGAAGCCAAAATATCTTGGA